ACGGGGAAGATGAGGAAATGGGGAACCGCCGAAAAAACGTCGTAGGGGTGGAGAGTATGGAAGAGACTGGAAATGTGAGGTTGAAGGATGTACAAAGGACTTTAAATCTGTGGGTATCAATCTTCTCTATCAAATAACTCTTTTCTCAACCATCTCCAGAGTAAGGCCCTCAATATCCACAACAAAGTCGCACATCTCGGACAAAGAGACTTTGCCTGTCCTCACGAGGGCTGCGGGACTGCCTTTGGCTACAAGCATCTTCTTCAACGTCACCTCGCTAAATACCATTCCGCCAAGGACGGCGACTGATGCTGAATCTCCATCCGAATCGGAAGCAGAAGTTTCAGAAGCAGCAGGAAGCCCCTCCACCGCGCATGAGTATCAGTGCCATGACTGGTAGTGCCTACTCCAGTCGCGCGAACGACTCTGAGGCCATACAATGTCCTTACCCGAATCTCAGCTTCCCGCACGGCGGTGTTCATGCGGAGCAATCGGGCGACGTGGCAGAACAAGGTTGCGGCTATGTTTTCCGACGGGCTTACGACCTTCGCCGACATCTACTTGCTCTACATAAAGTGGAGGCCGAGAAGGATAGTGTTGATGCCTTGGGTGAGGAAGATCAAGTCGAAAGTACATACACTATAGCACATACATTCATAATAGTTATACCGGCGTAGTAAATACATAGAAAAGCACCGGTTGTGGTTGTGGTTGTCCTTGACATTCGGAATATGGCGTTGCTGTAATTACCAAATTGAAATGGGAAATTTCTTGCCCGGCGCTACGTCTTCTCTCTTGCCCTCACACCTTTCCGGTGGCCTATAGATGTCACATATCCATCTCCGGGCTCCCTCTCATGCTTCTGGTCGTCGATCTGGCCGTGATTCAGACGCTTTACCAAAATTTTACGCTGAAAAGCCTTATTATAGTCACAGCAGAGGCTCGACTCCTTTGATTATACCATTGCCTATACTAATTCCAGGGACAAGACGCAAATTACGACTCTGGATGCCCAATATCCGAGGGCTACATCGAGCCAGCGTCTCGAAATTCGGAACGAAAAGAGGCTCCTTTCTTATTGCGCTTGTATATCTTCTCTTTATATTTTCTGTATTCGCTGTCGCGCATCCGGTTTGGGTCAAAGAAGAAGACGTGGCCTGGGCTTCCCAGTACAACACTGGTCTATGACAAGGAAGATTTAGAGAGAATATGGCGATGGGAGATTGCCAGCGGTCATCATCCTTCTACTCGACCAAGTGAGCTGGCTTCTTCAAGTCGCTGTAGCCAATTAATTGTTTTTATTTTATTATAGTACCATCTCCATATAATGTCGAAATTCAGCCCAAAAATCCAGCCCTTCCACATGAAGGCTCAGGTCGTGTGTACCTCGACGTTTCAAGTCGCGCTCCCAACGTCGCGTATCCTCCGCGCCCAAAAGCTGGAAGCGTGGCTGACCTTGACGTCCTCATGAATCATTGCGATTTCGCTGCCGATAGTGTTCGTATGTCTTTCATACCCTTCCTGAATCCATGCTGATATTATACAGTATGTCCGTGACTGCCTAGAGGTCCTCAGAATCGGGGGAGGTCTAGACAATGGCAGAAGGGTACGGAGAATGATTCCCGACGAATGGCTGTACGTATTCGTCGACGAGCCAACTACCGGAGCAACACACACTTCACCATCACCCCCTGTCCGCCAAGGCGTCGTCCGCGTCGAGCGAGACGCCCAAGTCGATGATTCGGCATTCCGCAAAAGCCGACATGCCAGCTGGGAAACTCCCGCGATATCCCTCCCCCCAACAAAGAACCCTCTTTCTTCACCTTATTGCGATCCCGAGGAACCACGTATCTTCCATATGTTCTGGTCTGGCGACTTTACCGACAAGCCCTATCTAGCTCTGCTCTCCTTCCTCTACACCCAGAACCTCGGACTTCATAAATCTGAGCCTTCGCCCTCGTCCTGTCCACCCAAGCTCTGGCTCTGGATCAACCCAGGGTTCATGCTCACACTCAAAAACCCTGCCCTAAGCCGCGAGAAATTCGAAAAAATCAAACACAACCAGTGGGCGGCACCGTTCCTGCATCCCCGGTTCAATGGTATTATTGAATTCAAGTTTTGGAACACTACCGAACAGCTGGATAGTGTTGAGGAACTGAGGGATGTTTGGCGGTCTGCGCCGACGATTTTCAACTCGGGTGGGCACACTATCCATATTAGTGGGATGCCTAGGACTTGGACGGCACAAGAGGAGGAGGCAGCAACGACAGCAGAAAGCATGGCGGCAAATGCTACATCCCCCTACAACGAGCCCGAAAAAGTCGCAGTCGTGCTATCCGACATGGCACGGTTCCTCCTCTGTCATCATTTCGGTGGCGTCTATCTCGACGCTGATACGCTCTTCCTCCGCGACTGGGAAGAACTCTGGGGGTGGAAGGGTGCATTCGCATATCGATGGTCATGGCACGACGACTACAACACCGCCGCTCTGAAAATGAGCAAAGGATCTGCATTGGGTTCATTCATTTTACGAACAGCGTTCAAGAATGATTTTGATTTTCATCCGATGACGATTACCAAGTATATGAAGGATGCGCATATGGAGGATTTGTTGTTTAGGCTGCCTGATGCGATGTTTGATTCGGCTTGGTTGAATATGGAGGGATATCAGAGGGAGAGGCCGCCGCAGCCGTATTTCTCGAGGTGACATATTATTAATCGTTGCTCAAGTGGGCTTTGGCTAACACAGTACTGTTTGGATTAGATTCGAAGAATTTTTCGAAACTCCACAACAAAATAGCGCTACTCCTCCCGTAGTCGGGTTTGACGGGTTCTTCAGAGGGGCATTCTCGTATCATTTCCATAACTCTTGGTGCGTACATACCATATTCCTTCCTTCCGCGATTTACAAACTCACTCACCGTTGATCCAGGTCAAGACTCAACGACCCATCGCGAAACTTCCCCGACCTGGGACCGCGATTCGCAAGGGATAGCGACATATTCGTTCCGAAACTTGATCCACAAGACTTTAACTGGTCGACAGTGCTGAAACGGACTTTTGAGGCGTATTTGAGAGGAGAGGTTCCGAATATGTATGGAGAGTGGATACAATACTAAGTTTATTTATTACTAGATTAGCAGAGGATTGAAGTGGTTGCAGAATCGATTGTCGCTGTGCGAATGCCGAATACTAGTGGTTAATTATAGTAAAATTAAGATGGTGTGGCTCGAATGAAAGGATACACTACAACTCTGCCGTTGAGATTGTCAATTGTGCCATTAAGATTGTCAATGATTGTTAACTGTGCCGTTGAGAACACCGAGTGTGCCATTGACATTGTCAATTGTGGCAGAGTCGGTTCAGAATCGACTAGATTCGGTACACTCTGTATGAGCTACTGGATTGCAGCAAGCAGCTGGTTCACTCTCGCAGAGGTTGCCGATTCCTGAATAGCCACTGTTGGCCAAAAAAAAATTGAAAAAAAGAGCGATATATAATCATGAAGATATTGAGTGTCTTCACTCACCCTGAGGACTCAGGACTTGGTTGTTCACGGTTGCGATGCTTTTGGTTTTGAGCCATGGGGGCGCGTTTGTAAGTTAGCGCCGATTTTCAATGATCTTGATCCTGACCACGACCACGACGCGTCTCTCTCTCTCTCTCTCTCTCTCTCTCTCTCTCTCTCTCTCTATGAGCTCCCCCACATCGCGCTCTTAGACTCCTCCACAGGCCTCCCGTCTTTCCTCCTGGAACCACCATCCAATGCTACATCCATCGACTCCAGCACTTGAAGCTGGTCATAAAGAATTTCCACGCTCTGCATCTGGCTCTCCAGAGCTCAACGATCCGATATATGTGGCGGTGAATGGTTTGGTTTTCATTATTTCTCACCAAATTTTACGACCAAGTTTCAAGGCGATGAAGCGTCGCCCGGTCAAAAAAAGGAAGACTTTCTTGAGGCATTACGCGTCGACGAGCAAGTTAGAAAATACCATTGGCATTGCATGCCTCCGAAACTCTACTATGGCTTTGGCCTTGACTTTGAGGACTGTGCTGACTACTATACCGGAAGAAGGTTCGACTGCCTGCTTAGCGGTATGCCTCGCTTGTCCAGAAGCACCTGTCCAGCATCTGCGAACATTTTTCTAGCATTGTAATACTACCCCAGTCCGTCGACTATCAGCTAGTGTTGTCTTTGTACAGTAATCACAACATTGATTACAGAGAGCTGGAAGATCATGATGAGAAGGTCTTTGAGCTTTTGAGCAAGGAATTTCCTTGGGTGTTCTTGACTCAGGAGCCACGGTGATTCTACCCTTGCAATGATCACTAATTTTGGTGAGTTCTGAGATCTGTTTTGATTGGTATGTGGATACCAATTTCATTTAGCTTTCCCTTCGACTTGTTCCTAATCTCAATGTGTTTGTGTCATCTACTTTGCTTCCTTCAATCAATGGATTTCCATCTGCAGAATCCCTGACCTAGATGATATTTCCGTTTCTGTGAGGCTACTGATGCCGCCCTTCAGAGTATCAATGAAAAGCTTGCCCTTCATCCTTCGAGTTATACCTTGAAAGAATTTTTCGTCAGAATTCATTGCTCGCGGAAGAAAGTTACATGATCTGGATTCTGTAACACTGATGAAGAGCCAAGGCATTCTGACAGTGTTAGGAATGGCCTTCAAGGCTAATGCATATATTTGCCGTTGAACTGGTCATAACTCAAGTTGAGCCTGTAATGCTAAAAAGGGCTGAACACTTCGTTATAATAGTACGGTACAGTAGCATAGTAGAAGGCGGATGGATGGTGAGATTGGAATTGGGCATAATAGACTTGCAATCAGAGGTAGACGGAGGTATGGAGTCCACTATATTAGCCCGAAATACTTACATACAAAGAAACCTTGGCAATAAAAGTAAAGTGTACTTATAAAAAGCTCAAAAAAAAACAAGAATCTCCTACATTAATCAAGGATATCCATCAACCAGACACCATCACGACGCCAGCAGGATTTGAACCTGCGCCCTCAAAGAGGAACAGATGAGCGGAAAATATAAACCATTCTAATCTGTCGCCGTAACCACTTGGCTATAGCGCCTTATTACTGCGGGCAGTGTTTCCTTCACATCGCGGAGAGCGAGTTTACTTAGAGTTATGCATTTGCCAATTGCCATCATCGAGGGTGGGCTATCACGATTCACACTACACCGACACTAAATCCCAATCAGCATTTCTAATACTATGTATAATATTCTAATATACTTTTGACTCCTTCCCCTCCTTCTCCCCATCAACAAAAACCCTCAACACACCACCCTCTCCCTCTCCTAATTCAGGTACCCACATAACCCCAGCCTCAGGTCTAACAACCTCCCACCCCTCAGCATCCGCTCTCCAACGCTTCTCTTTCTCGAAACGTTCCATGCGGAGCTCGACTTCCGAGGGGGGGAGTTTAGTTGGGAACTGGGAACGGGCGGTGGACCAGGCGAGGGTGAAGGCAGGGGGGATAGCTGGATCGGAGGAGGAGGGGGTATCGGAGGAGGAGTGGGAGTCGGAGGGAGATGAAGAGAAATAACTCGACAACCAACTTGGTATCCACGATTCGCCCTCCGAGTCATCACTCCCAAACCCACCCCTCATCGCGAATTCTCTGGCGACCCAAAGCCTAGCAGGCAACTCGGCGTAGTATTTGGCCCGCGCTCTGTGTATTGCCCCGAGTGGGGATTCGTCTTTGGGGTTGGGATCAGAATCACCATCCACCGTCGCCGGCGCTGGGGCCCTCAAATAGTTCCTATAAAACGCCTCCGACTCGAGCCCAAATTCCCGGTCGGTCGTCTCAAACGGCCTAGTATGACCCCACACAGCTTGTAGAGCAGCCTCCCCGCCAATCCTGACATGTTTCCGTTGATTGAAAAAGTCGAGGACCATGTATGGAATTTGGGAGGGACCAAGGTAGTCTGTGAAGGGGATGAGGAGGAGTGGCGGGAGAGGTGGGATGGGTGCTTGTGCTGGGGTCGACGAGGACAAGGATGCGGGGGATAACGGAGATGGTGCGGGTGCGGAGGAGGGAGAGTCATCAAACACGGCATCCCCCTCCAGCGCGTTTCTAACCTGATTCTCTCTCCACTCGGCCGCCTTATCCTTCGGGAGGGGGTCTTGAGTGTACCCGCGTACGATTCCGGCTAGGTATTCTTTTAATGTCGCTGAATGGCACGGGTTTATTAGTCCTTTGCGTAGCGAGACGTGTAATGTACTGACCTCTTCCAATAATAACAGACCCACCAGCCAACTCGACGGCCTCCATCTCCTCACGCGACAGTGCTCGATACGCCGGGGGCATATTCGCATTATTCCTACCAGCACTCAACTCCTCTGCCTCTGCTCTCTTCGCCCTAACCTCATCCTCAACTCCCCGCATAACATCCCCGTGTCTCTTCCCCTTGACCATCTCATAATCCACCGCAGCAGCAACCAGTATCGGCTTGACATACCGCCGGAAATACCGCATCGGCTGGTCAAAGTCTTCGTCACCCGGCCATTTCGCAGAGAATACCCTTAGTTTTCGGGGTGTCGCCATGTGTGCATTTTCGCTTGCATTTTCCGCTGACGACCCAGCTAGTACGCTGGGACCTGCGCTTGGACCCCAGCTAAACCCCTGACCCTCCTCCTCAACCCTCCTGATATACTCCTCCTTCAATCTCCTACACTCTCGCCTGTCGTAGACATACGCTCCAACCAAGCTCCCAGTCAGAGAAAGAAATATCAACCAATTTCGGGATGGGAGTTTCGGCCGACGGAAGAGGAACGCTGGGAGGCCTGTGGAAGAGAGAGCAGATTGGAGTCCGGAGGGCGTACTGGGTGGTTTGCTGGAGCTGGCGCTCATGAGAGGAAGAAAGACGCGTCGGATGAAAAAAAAATTACTCAATTGATGTGTGTTGAGCGCTCGGCATGTAAGTAAGCATCAAGTCCGCGCTAACAATTGAATGTGCTGTTCCTCTTTAGGGCGCAGGTTCAAATCCTGTTTGCGTCGTGCTCCTTCGTAGAAAAAAAGAAGCGCTAAATTTTTTTTGGCTTCTGATTCATGTACGCGCTGATCATGCACGCATGCCGCTTTGTTTTTGCTTCGGAAAGCATATGCATTCATGGGTTCAACTGAAAGTGTAAAGTACAAGATTTATTCATCAAATGACGCTATGGCGACAGGGACTCAGATTTTGGGCTCGAAATGACGCTAAAGGATTTCGCTGCAATCTGACCCAAAATGACGGTTCTGCAGGAGCTTCTGGCTACTGGTAGTCACTACAGCTTTCGCGCTCAAGTTCGCCATAGTTTCCGAATTCTTACCCATTCATGAGTATTTCTTCAAGCCTGGGTTTTGGTTTGGACACTTGCATTTATTAAAGGCAATGTGCTTAGTGGCCGCGACAAGACGAAGATCAGAATTGAGCAAATTGCACCCGCGGTTTGTCGTTCGTTTCAAGTTCCTGACGTGCGTGGCATGATTCTACAACGCTGACAGGATACTACTTGGCTATCCTCTGCAATCATCTAGGATTCATACGGCTGGAGGCTTGAGTGGTTTTGCACTTGGGAAGTGCATTTCACCTTCAAGTTGACAGAACTCGTCTGTCCTAGTTGTGGGCCTCGTACCTCTAGACCTTTCTCAGGCTATTACAACGCATACGCATTCTCAGGTTTGGGCAGTTCCCTAGTATGTATCGAAAATTGATCTACATCTTTAGCACTCGAAGATGATATCAGCTTCAACGAGATCCTTATCACTCGTGAATAGAGCGTATGTTTAGAAGAGAAGAAGTCCAGAAGTCCAACCAACCCTAACCAACCATTTTTAATGGTTGGTGGTGGTACCTATTACCTTTAAACTGAAGGCATGTTCACATAATTTCCTTTTTCTCGATTAAACTATTCTGCTAGTTCATCACATAGTTGTATCCCGGGATCTGCAATATCACGGATATTGAATTCATCTCTTGATGGTGATTCCTCACCATTCGTGGTAGTCCTTTAAAGCGCAGCCCCATAATCTTAACGGTCAGTATTCACCTTCCTCACTGTTTTTTTAAACGACATTCTTTACCCCGTAACTCGACAGCGTGACGGCCAGGATGCCTTCAGCTCCGTCTTTTGATTCAGCTCAGTTACTCGGCGCTATCGAACTCGGCGCCTTTGCCAGTGTCCTCCTCTATGGAGTTTTGATGATGCAAGGACACTTTTATCTGACTCACTGCAGGAGCGATTCAAGGATTTTGGTCTTGTTTGTAAGTTTCTTAGCTTTTCTAATGATTTAATCTTAAGAAATGTCGATATGCAGGTGTGCTTTGTGCTGTGAGTGCCCAATCGAACTATCCAAAACCTGTTGATCATGACTAGACGTTAGAGTGCTGGAAACTGCCCATACTGCTACAATTATCCATATCGTGTGGTCTGCCACAGTAACTGGAACTATCCTCCAGCTCTCCAACCCAGGTAGCTCATCTATAACATCAGTCTCCGTTCTTTATATAGCCGTCATCACAATTTCTGTCCAGGTGCGTGCAGAGCTCCTTGTAATTTCGGGATTTCAAGTTGAAGCCAATACATGATTCACAACAGGCGTACTACTTCCACCGCATCCGTCAATTGAGTGGAAAAATCTGGATATCCCTTGTTGGTTGGGGGGTGACCATAGTGTGTTTCGGAGCTGGGATATTCCTCTGCTACAAAAGCTTCACTATCGGCGCCTTCGCATGGCAATCAACATGGGGTTGGCTCATCAAGGCTTCTTTCGCGAGTATCGCCTCGATAGACATTTTTATCACAGGTCTACTTGTTTTCTACTTGAAACGTGTTTCTACTCCGCTCAATGAGGCGCCTGTAATGGAAAGGTGAGTTCAATCTTTCCCAGCGCTGGCGACCTGAATAACAGACTTGGGTTTACAGCTCGGTGGAATTGATAAATCGATTAATCATTTGGACGGTTGGTGAGTGTTCAGGACAGACTTAACCATTGCTCAACCTGACGGTTAGTACAGAAACTGGGATGCTGACTAGGTATTGACGTACAGCATAATGTTCAATCTACTTATACGCTGATTGAACATATCTAGTATCACATCCATCGTTGTGCTCATCTCTGTAAGCATTACTGCTGGGCTCTAGTTTACGACGATTACTTACTGATGTCTCCTTATACAGTTCCAAATGATGAACTTGAATTGTGAGTTCGATGCTTCAGTTATTCAATTCAAATTTCTGACTGACATATTAGATGTCTGGTTCGGTTTATTCTTTTCCTTAGGAAAACGTTAGCGCTTCGTATTCTATAGCTGAAAGCACAAAAATCTAACGGTACTCATCTAGTTTATTCCAATTCCCTTTTGGCATCGTGAGTCAACCAAATCCCTCGACATCTTCGCTGAACACGTATAATTTGTATAATATAGCCTGAATGCTCGAACGTCTAACCGCAAAAAGCTTGGAACCCAGATGTTCTCGGAGAGCCTAATTTTTCCGCTTTCAAAATCACAGGTCGTGAGCCGCTCAGTCAAGTTTCAGCATTCTTTCAAAAGTAATCTTTTTTTCAGACAATTAACAAGCCGTACTCCTCGTCGATGTTCTCAGAGAGACCAACTCGTGCTTCCACACCCACATCAACAAGAAGTATTGATTCAACCAGTACCACTATATCCATCACCGAACCTTCCAGAGCCCAGTTGTACACATCATCCAGGAGGGTTTGAGGCAAGATTTAATCGCATATTTCTTCTACGTATATTTACCTGTTGGAAGCTTTTGTCTTTCCAAGTACATAGAGAATGTAAACAGATTTTGTTTCTTCAATGTCCAAAGCCAGCCAGCCACACTATAGCTATCCAACTCTACTTGTTCTAATGAGGATACTACTACAATATTAAGCAAGAAAACCTTATTATAAATAGACTTGGAGCATCTAGGCATCTAGGAAGAAATTGAAGCAATTGAAGATAAGATACTATCATCTATGTATGATAAACAGAAAAACAAAGATGCGCAAAAGATGCAGATGGAAAAGCACGACTGTCATTTATAAATCACAAAATTAAAAGTCCCACAGGGTCC